CTTTCCCCATTCCCGTGTAAACAAATGTAGCCACTAAAATAAGAGAAATGCCTCTAAAATTCCAATCTTTTTCAATACTGAGTTGAGTTCTGGAGATCTAGGAAAACACAGCTACACATTGAGCCAAATGTAGTTTTCCAGTGTTCACAAGGAAAGCAAAAGACACAAAAAAATGCYGCTGCTGCAGCATTTAGCACAAAGAGAAATTTGGCCCAGGACTGTGCATAGGTCAYAGGTGAATTGTTTGGTTTGTTGTTGCACCTAATTAGGATTTAACATATTTATTTATTATTGCATTGCAAAATTATTTTGAAAATTGCTATTCATATTTATTTAATATTACCTTAAGCAGACATTATTTAATGTGAAAGATATTCATAATTAGATGTGTTGTATGTAGTGTATCTCACGTGGGAAAGGAGGTGATTGTTCCCGATGATACCCAGTTTGCGCTCAGTTGCGGCGGAATGTGGACCCCATCCAGCAGGAGATGCAAACAGCGTGTAAATGACATTGTGCTGGCTCTTAGAAATAAACGGTGTTCTGGCACGTTGCGTTGTGTTCTTGTCAGCCTTCGCTTAACGTACGTTGTGCAAGTGAAGTGCAGGGRAGTGGGCATTGAGCTGCTGTGGGCGACTCTGTGCGGTGCCCGAAGCCACGGTGAGGGGCAGCGGGCGCAGGGGCCGCGGCGCCCGCGGGGGCTCGGCAGCTCCTTCCCTCTGGGATCAACCTGCCAGCTGCTCGGGTGCAGCAGGACAAACCAACCTGATACCCTCTGTGTGTGTGTATGTGTGTGTGTGTGTGTGTGTGTGTGTGCGCGCTTTTACATATGTATTTGTGCGTGTGTATATGGAAAACTTCATAAACAGGATTTTTTTCTACATAATAAGCATGAAAATGCATCTATTGTGTGATCGTTGGCTGTAATAAGGTAACCGTTTCTTCCCTCATCTGCTGCAAATTTGCGTTCAGGGAAGACAGCTATGTTTATAAATAGATTGTTTATATTTAAAATTGTGTTTAATATGTAAAGCCATCTGCGGCTCATCAACTTCATCTGCATTTCTTTTTAAGAAAGGATATTACCCCTCCTGTGATGGCTCTCTCAGGGAAGCAATTTTTAAATAGTCAGGAAAGCCAAAGGAATTGCTTTCTTCTGATGTTTTCATATTGCAATGCTCTGGTGACACTGTGTCTCTTTTGCATATTAGGCCTTGTCTTTTATCAATAAATTGATTCTATAGACTTAAGTGTTACCTCATCTCCTGTTTGGCTGCTTCTGCTTTCATTTGCCATATGAAAATACTAGAAAGAAAAATCCCTGGAGTGGGTTTGCCTTTGTGGGCAGAAGGTGGCTCCCTAGAGATTATTTCAGTAATTATTTTTAAATGAGGAGAGAGTTACTAAATACACAGACACTTCTTTTTGTTATCATTATTCATCTTACAAATGAAATGAGCCGTAGAAGTGACAGAGATGGGAAGGTGCATTTGGAACATGTGGGGGTTTCTCTGGGCACTGACTCATTTATTGATTAAAAGTTGATTTAAATATGTGCATGGTAGAAGATAAAAATCCGGCGTCAGGAGGGACACTTAATTATGCTGCAAGCAGAAATAATAAACACCTGAAAATTATCATTAGAGAAAATGTTTTCTCTTCTGTTCCATTGAGTTTTTCCTTCAAAGTGCAACCTTTCCTTAAGGTGCAAACCTTACATTGGCTTTGCTTAGAAAGCAGTGGTAAAAATGCCATTGTGAATGTTTGTAGTCCTATTGCAGTGCTTTACATTAAAACGTGCTCTGCTTGCAATTCRGAAGAGGATGTTTTTCTGTCTGCTGGGAAGCTCAAGCAAGAAATGTCCCCATCTGGGCACATTTCCAAGACACCATAAAGGGCYGAGGCCCAAACTAGTGTCTTCTCTTCCTCACGTGTCAGTCCTGCTAGGAGATGTTGCAGACGAGATTTCTTGTGAATCATTTACTAAAGCTGTGGACATCATCCTTTGGATGATGGGGCTACTCACTGGGGTGTACGTGGTCACTGCCTTATGGACATTACCTGTCCTCAGACCCATTGCYTTAGGTCCTGCCTGAGTATTTTTAGGCCTTTTTACTGATATTGGATATTGAGTCCTCACTCTTGGTAGGTAGCCAGTAGGGCACTAGTAATAAATGGAGAAGTTCAGGTTTGGTGGAGGAAAATGAGCAGTTCTGGGACATCAGGAAGAAGACATCTTCTTGCAGCACCTCAGCAGGAGCTCCTCTCGACTCCCCTCAACTGTCATTCTCTCCAGTGCACACAAAAACAGGCTCCTGGCTACCTTTGCACTGCGGAGCCAATGCAGCTGTGACAGAAAAACGGGGTGATTATTAAACTGGGCAGGTATTTTGAACATGTATAGAGAGGTGTTAAGTGAAGATGTCATCGTCCTTTCCAGAGCATATCTGTGCTCTCTAAACTAACAGTGGCAAAATTAGAAAAAAAAAAAAAGGAAAAAAAAGTTCAAAGAACTGGTCGCCTAATTTCAGTCCTGCAGAAATAGGCCAGTCACTTCAACTCCGAGCCGGGAAGCCAGCTCTTCATGGGAATAGGAAATGCAACATGTGGCCCATAGGAGGGAAGGCTGAGGGGGAGATTCCAGGAGCGCTTTGCAAGGCTCCGCTCCCAGCGGGCCGGAGCGTGRCCACACTGGGCACAGCAGAGAGCACGGAGCTCGGAGCATCTAACTTGGTTGCTTTTGTTGGGTTTCCAAGGTGGGAGAGCATTCTGCTCATATCTTAAGGAGGTTTTTTTTTTTATATTTCTCACATGTGATTCTGTTTGAAAACTTCCCCACCTACACAGCTCTGAGATTCTGTTGCCTTGGAAAAAAAATCTTTCCTACTTAGTTTTTTTCCTCAAAGCTCTGAAAGATTCCGTGAAGTGGCTGCTGTGTCTTCCACTGCTGCCAGGCATGAGCAAGGGCAGTAAGTTCAGGTGACCACCCAGGCACCTATTAATTGAAGAATGGTTGGATCAGAGGATGAACCAGCTCTTACTGTGCAGTATTTTTTTCCATTTGTTATATCCACTGATTCATCCCATCATGAAACAATAAATCCTATCCTGAATTCAAATGAAAAGCAATCTTGCTTTTCATGAGGTAGAATTGGATTAAATCTTTGAATGAACCTAAGTGGTCAAGTTTTGAGGACTGGAGGTGTCCTCATCCTGGAGATGTCCTCCTTGTTTATGGAGTAAATAATTCTACAGATAATGTTAAAGCATCAATTCAATAAGGTCTGAGAAGCAGCYGTATACTTGCATGGTTGCAACCTCCAGAAGTCAGAGTCGTTCTTCATTGCACGTTCTTTCCTGGAGAATTAAATTGCACCACGATAGTCTGTAGAAGTAAAGAAGTAAATGCAATTAAGGGTAACAAAGTTGCTGAGCAAATGGCAGAGCTTTCTTTTTTTCCCCGCAAGAATTTCCTGTGATTAATGAAATTATTGTGACACCGACCTCTACGCTGGCTCCCAGCCATCTGCCAGAAGACGGCCTGCTGTGTGCAAACAGACTTGGTGAAGGAACATTTCTAAGATAGTCACTTAATTCTTTAATGCTTGGAGAGGATCCGCAGTGACACTTGCAGCTCAAGTGCTTCTCTGGTCTTAACTTCCACGATCAAGTTCCATTTGAAGGAGGCGAGTTTGATGCAGAGGGTTAGTGACTGTCAGTATGTAAACACTCCTGCAGCTTTCTGCTGATGCAGTCAGTGTTCACAGAGGTGGATTTTTCAGCAGCTATAAATGGCACATGTATTTGTCTCGTCTGAAGTGCGTGGGAAACATTGAAAGGCTTGATCATAATGTTAGAAACTTGAGACCCACAGATGAAAAAAATCCTGATGTTTCAAAGCTCTACTTAAAATGTCATGGAATAAGCAGGGGAGCGAAGATAAGAGGGCACGTAGGCAGCGGCAGGCGCCTCCCGGCAGGCACGGCGCTGCGTTCGTGGCTGTGCACGCACTGATAAGGGTCTGTGCGACCCTGTGGCTTCTTAAGAATGCAGCTCACCACATGTGTCGGTGGTTGTATGGGTTCCAGTCGAGGGATACAGCAGCTAATATCACCTCTTGGCACAGGGACAGAAAGCAACAGCCTGTCTTCCTCCTGCAAAGCTGTCCACCCAGCTGAACATGTTTGGCCAAGGAGTCGCGTCTCTCTCCAGCTAGAGCAAAAAAGTCTGCAATTTCAGTTTCAGCATTTATTTTCTTAATCTGTGTGGGCCTCCTGTTAAATTTGCCCCACTGTATAGGGAAGGACTAAAGATTCTTTAGGTTCCAAGCCACAGCATACAAAAACTAAGCATTATGGCACAGTCTGTGGTATATAGTTTGCCACATAATGCAGAAGGAGTGAGTTCTGCTTGGTAAGTAAMATTGGTTGATAGCTTATTATTTGTATCAGTAAAACACAAGACAAAGTTGTGTGTGATCCACTCTTAAATTTTCTATGTGCAACACACTTCCTAAGTAATTCCAGCAGCAGTTACCAGAGTTGTTCATGTGCTGTGCACTGCCGTGCACTGCCGTGCACTCCATATATTGGTTCTCCACCTAGAAAGTCAAATCTGATGTATCTGCTGATTATATCCATCTTTTCGTTCTTCTAAATGTGCAGGTTCTTGTTTTTCCACTATAGTAACTTCCAATGTTAACTTTCACTGTTTGCCTTCAAACAGTATCCCTCAGTATCATCATTTCAAGATTTTATGTATGCAGCTATTGTATGTATTACAATATGCAATGTATCTATTACTTTTCCCAGGGTCAAGGGTGAAAAAGATGAGCTGTATTACTTAGAAAATATGTTTATAGAAAGAAAAATGCACTTTCAAGSAAGCTTAATAAATGGGCTGTTAGGTTCTTGGTTTGTTTTTAATTGCTCCTGTGAAGTTGAAATTATAACCTATTTACTTTCCAGATTTGTCTTTCTGACATTTTAACTTGATTTCAGGTTACTATTGGCCAGCTGTATTCCTCTCAGAAACTGGTGATTGAGAGTCCAGGAAACACATAGCTGGAGAAGACCCTGATCCTGAAGCGACACTGGACCACCTTCAGCATCCTACAGTGCCACATACAGATGCATAAACTCACTGCACATGTCAGAGCTTTTCTGTTCAGCAGAAGAAACATCTGAGGGACTCAGTTTTTGGCAACCAAAGTACTCTATTTTCTAATAGTTCACACATTCTGAAGTGCATCGCGGTGATTTACAGTAGCATGCAGGGCGATCCTGCGCTGTTTCCTAGTCTGTTTGCTTGTACGTCCCCTGTGATAAACTGGCTCCTGCCCTAATTTGACAATAAAAGTTCATAAAGGAACTGCGTGTAACCTGGTGCCTTCTTCTGCCTCCCCTCTCGCCGAGCTCAGAAGCGGTGCTCAGCTTAAAGCCTCTYACCCAGTTACTAAAAAAGTAACTTATTACGGATCCTGTTTGATACCCAGCCCGAGGGCGTCCGAATTAAATGACTTCATACATAACTCCTGTGTGCAGTTTTGTTTTAAATATYAAAACCACGTAAGATGACTGCCTCTCATCTCCAGAACCTTCATACTTAAGATTTCAGGAGCTACGTGGTGGTTTCTTTTAAAGAACATTCCGTGACATTTCAGGAGACAACATAAAAATTTCGCAACTTCTTGCTTTAGTTTCCAAGAGTTAATAGCCAGTCTTGGCCTATTCGAAACAGTGAATAGGTCAGAGTAGAATATAAGGCTCGTGTCACTGAMGCTTGGGAGATTTACAATATTTCTACCACTGAGTCCTTTTCTAAACTTGAAGCCCAGTTATTAGCACAACGTAACAAATCATTTTATGTGAGACTTCCCGTTTTCACAAAGCTCCAGAATTTTACAGGAAAAAGAATCTCCAACTGTGAAAGTAACTCAAGTGCTGTGAACTTGAATTAACTGGAAAACACCTTATGCAGCAGAAGTAAAACAGTTGGTAGAGCTCTTCCACTGCTGTATTTTTAAATCCTTAGGGTAAACAACACTTTTAAGACAAAGTGTGGCAAAATTTTAGTCAGGTTTTACTCGAGTCAGTGCTGTGTTTGCATGTGTACTCTGTTAGAAGTTTGCAGGGAAAAAAAAGTCAGTGTGAGGCTGCTCTAACAGTGCACAGCAAGAGGGGTTGTGATTTTTTGTGTCTGCCAGCGCAGGGGCTGAGAACGCCTGGCTAGGGAACAAAACAAACATCCCCCTAAGGGGCATTAATAAATGTCCCCCATTTATAAASAGGGACAACTCCGCTAGTAACATTTTTACTGTTTGTTTTCACTGTATTTACAGCGAAAAATACAGGTTTGTTTTCTAACAGAGTYCCTTCTAAACCCCTAAACATTTCTTCCAAAATACCTTTTTGGTCCCTTTTGGTTCTCTGTAGCTTAGTTTCCACCAAGAACACAACTATGAATATTATATACTGTGGCATACATATAGAATAATATGGATGGGAACAGTTTGTTTTTAATGCCCTAAAARGTATGAGGGATATTACTTCTCCAATAATGCCCCAAAGTGCTGCTGTTAAGTTCTTAAAATACCATGGTACTCCTGATATTAGTGCTATCTGCCTCTGCTTTCTGTCTCGTGGTTGCTGCTCACATTCCCTTAGCTGTTTGTCCCTGCAAAGGAGCATTAGTTTTTGGGATAAGTGGAAAGTAGTTTTCGGGATATCTGCTGGGATAAAAGAGAAATCAGGGTCTGTAATTTCCCTCTCCCCCCAGTCTGCAGTGCAGAGGAGGTTAAGACAGCTCCTCTTAGTKAAGGCTTAAATTCTCATTCCAAGTCAACCATCAGGTACCACCCGCTACTTGTATTTTATTTACTACGAGGAACTTACAAAGTCTTCAGGTGTTAGGGCGCACAAGCCTGTGCAACACTATCTGAGCTGTGAGCAAAAGTGCCAAGGTAGCAACCGAGGGGTCAGTGCTCCAAGCCCACGTAACCGGTGTGTTTCCCAGTGGGGTCTTCGGCAAACCAGCACGTTTCCCGTCTTCACCAACAGGTATGTCAGTGCACCCACCATTAATGTTAGTGATTGGTGAGCACATCTGTCATATATGACTGAAGATACTTAGGTGTATTGTATTTTTCCATGTATATTGTGTATTTTTTTATTATACACAGCTTTGTATAAAATCAGTTTATCAAACGAAGCAAAACTCTTCGGACTATGGAAGGAAAACACTTAGAAACCACGTCCGCCTTAGCAAGTCCAGAGCATGAGGAGCTGCAGAGYGGGACAGCCGGGGCGTCCTGTTCATGTTCCTGTGTGCTCTTCTCACTGTTCGGCGCTCAGGCCCCAGCTTCCCGCCGCCGACGGAGGCGGCGCGCTCGAGACGCGGCCCGTGGGCCTCGCCGCGGGGTCGCCGTGTGCTTGCAGCTCACCSGGCACTGCGTTGCCTCCTCCTCTCGGCACTGCCTCCAACTTGGTGGGGTTTTTATCAGAGCGGAATAAGCAACAGGAAACACAAACGCCTGATCCCATCATTTGTGTGCAGGGTCCACTCTTTTAAAAGGCATTAAGGCATTATCTCTTTGCAACAGAAGAGTGCTCAACAAAGACGTTTACCAAGACTGCAATAACTCTTACAAAAACATTCTTGCTTTGTAAYATTGTATTAAAAGTTTCTCTCTGATTCTAAAATTTTAGCAGTGTATTTTCTCTAGCAGTATGCACCCAAATTGGACAGTTTACATAAATCAAAAGTTCATCATGATTTGTACAGTATAAATTTGGGGAAAGCTCCCTCAAACAAAAAAAAAAAAGAAGGTCACTTAACATGAGTAGCAGTTTAAAGCACAGGCACTTCTGTCGGGTCAGGCTTCTGAGCGGATTTCAGTTTCCGAAGGCACAGATGTATCCCAGGCACAGCTGCCCAGGACACAGTCCAGGAAAGAGTTCATTACTTACATTGCTGAAAAAAGGTATTTCATATAAAACTCCCTCAAGTTTCCAAGCACTAACAACATTATTTTTACATTTTAGCATAAACAGGGAAGAATAAGTTCATGAAAAATAAAGGAACAGCAGCCCCTCGAGGTGCTTTCTGCAAGGTGCTGCAAAGGCGTCTCCAGATACGTGGCTAGGACCAGGCGCACGGACCTGTGCACTCCGTGCTTCCCTCTGCTTTCCCCAGGGATCTGCAGGGCCACCTTGCCATTATTGAAGTCAGCACTATTGTGTTTGCTTCTTCCACTGGCGCTTTGCACCAGCAAGATTAGTTCATACGCTTAGGAATGTTTTGCTTCACGGCCTTAAAAAAAAAAAAAATGGTTGGGGGTCCTTTCACTGCAAGTTTACATTGAAAGAAAATATATTTTAGAATGTAAATATAGTCAATGAGCCCTTACTGTGGAAGCAAAAAAAAATAAAAAAAAAAACCAACAAAACACAAACCAAGATACGTTTACTAATGTGAAAAGAGGAAGAAGAGGGACTGCTAAATCTGTTTCAGACGCATATATTTTCAAAAGATTCTGCAATTTACGTAGAAAACTAAATGCCACTGGTACGCTATAAGAAGAGACACTTTTTCCCTAAGCCACTTACCTTTTCTACTGTTAAGCCTTATAAATACTGAAGGAGGGGGGATGTCTGCAGTAAGAGAACTACAGAGAGCGGTGAAGAACGTGCAGGTTTCCTATGGAAGGAGTGCGCGGCATAAACATTTATGCCAGTCTTTGGAAATAAGATAATGAAAGTAATTGTCCTCAAAATAAAATAAAGTAAAAAGTTCAGCTGGTACCAGTCAYAGACAGCCTATTTTAAAATATTTAAAACATGACAGGTGAACATGCCTCACAGTGCCACGTTACCATAACCCAGCCATGAAAGCCTGAACAGAAGGGACAAATAAACCTGGATCATGTCCCCTACATTCAGGCAATACCTGCGGCTGCATCCAGATGCCAGGGCATTCGATGGGAGCAGAGTGCGGCCTTTACAAGCGGGACTGAAAGCCCAGGCTTTAAATAAATAGTAGTTTGCATGCAAGTCTGTAGTTCTTGATGACACTAAATTTAAGTCCACAGTACTTCTCTGAAACCATATTCTCTTGATCAACTTTTACATAAATATATACAGGAATTTAAATATAAGCTGGAAAAAAAAATTGCTACAACAAAATTTAATTTTAGTCTCCTCACAGTAACCAAATAGAAAGATTCAAATATATTAAAGTTTTTGCTTTTATATGGACGTATAAAATCCTTGGTTGCTGTTTCTCCCTTAACCAAGCCCTTAGAAACTTTAGTCCTTAGAAATAAGAGAAATCTACATAAGCTGGGAATCAGCGGAGCTGGAGTTCTCCCATGAGTGCTATCGTTTCCGAAGTTGGGGGGGAAGAAGGGTGGACAGTTAGGAGCACAAGCCAAAAGACTCGCACTGAATCTTTACCAAACATTAAAATGACAATAATCCTACCAAAGAGAGTGTTCCAGTTACCATTTTGCTAACGGTAACTGGATTTACCGTTTACTTTTTGGGGCCTTCTGTCTTTAAATTCTGCTCTGGATTTATCAGTACTTTTTTTAAATATTTCTTTGCAARTGAAGTTCTATCCGCTCACTGTCACCCCGTGGCGGGGGCAGCAGCCCCGGGCTGTGTTGGCGCTGGGCACATTCATGTCCCAGCTCTCGCTGTGACGCTCGTGTCCCAGGGCATCTCGGTAAGCTCAGGCACCCAGCACCTCATCTCTACGGCTGTGGGTTTTGCAGGCTCTGAGAACTGCTTTGGAAATCTATCCATATAGAAGAGCTGAAAATATAAAAACCACTGTTAAACAAGAGTATGCTTAATTCTCATATGAGAAACTATCCTCTTTTTCTTTCACAAAACGTGWTTCTTAGTAATAAGAAAAACAAAAGCATTTTGCTTGCTATCAAAAACACACACAAAAACAGCAGTGCTTTGATTATGACAAATGGCAGAGTTTTAGGTCTACACCATTTTTTAGAAGGACTCGGGAATGTTTTGCTGTTTTGTTTCTGCAAATGCTTCTCGTTTTGCACGTTTCAGATCGCAGCTCTGAGGAAATGACACAAATGCTACATGTCCTGCGCGGGGAGGCTTTACACGCACATTTCTCGCCCCTATAAATAAGCTGGCCAGCCATGATTCCCCAAGYTCCCTCCCTAAGGGAGGCTCTACACGGACCTCAGAACCGGACTGGTGCCTTAAATGCTCCTTTCCCGCTCCCCGATCTACCTGTGAAATTTTCTCTTTTTGCAGCACTAGTAAGCAAAACAGAGAGTAACAAATGGGCTGCAGCAGTTCAA